GATGGTGATGTTTTTAATGTTGCTTTAGAAATGTCAGCCACTAGAGTAATAGTAATTTTTGTTGCTAAGAGAGAAGTGCCCTTTTCTTGATATCTTCATTTAACAGTATGTTCTTAAGTTTCACAATAGAGGGGAAAAGATTTTATCTGTCTGTCTGTCTGTCTCCCGTTCAGCTGGTTTATCATGCACTGCAACTGATCGCATATGCAGCCCTGGGTATTTTAATTATGAGGCTGAAGCTCTTCCTGACCCCTCACATGTGTGTTATGGCTTCCTTGATCTGCTCAAGACAGGTAAGGCATTGGCTACGTTAGAGTTATGACTGCGGTGTTAATTTTATTCCAGCCTTTAATATTGAGTGGCCCTAAAATAATACTGACTTAGCAAAAGATCTCTGAATCCCTCTAGACCAGTGGTTCTCAACCTTCCTAATACCGTGACCTTTTAATACAGTTCCTCATGTTGTGGTGCCCTCCAACCATAACATTATATTTGTTTCCACTTCATAGTTGTAATTTTGCTACTGTTATGAATTGGGCAACCCCTGTGAAAGGGTCCTTTGACTCCCAAAGGGGTTATGACCCACAGGTTGAGAACCCCTGCTCTAGGCAAATAAGTTCTTCCTGGCTTTGATCTAGGCTCCCCTAAGGGAACAAGATGAGAGTTTGGCATACACTACCTCCAAAACTCAGTGCAGGCTGAGTTTGTGAGTGGTTGGTTGCTAGAGGTGATAATAGAAAGCTGGGCTTAATTATAGGCAAGGTTTTTTGTTGTGTTTTGACACTCTTATTTCAGAGAACTCCAACAATCAAATTTCAAGTTATAAGTCCTTTCAAATGAAATGTTCTTTTTCAGTATCAAGCTTTGTGAACAAAGAGTGTGTTTCATTTATTTGAATGAATATTTGCATCAATATTCCTGACTTTTAAAAAATCTAGTTGCAGTCTTCTTTTGATTATTTGCTGCTTGTTTTTCCTGGGTAACTGCCGCCTTGCCCTGTACTCACAGATTGATGATTCTCGACAGTCACCTTCCCATCATCAGACAGCCAAAATGCAACAGCCAGACTTCTTTTCAGCATAGAAAAATGGGAGTACAATGGTGGATAGAAAACAAAACAAAACAGCTAAAGGGTGTTTGTCTTTAAAGCCTAGCTCTATAGCTGTGTCTAGAAACCAGTAAGGGGGAAATAGGGAGAATATGTTGTCACTGAGTACGGCTACTTGAGTGTAGAAGCAGCTCCCCAGCCTCAGGATTCCCAGTAAGGATGTACTATGGCCTGGCCTGGGGCCAGTGTTCCTGAGTCTTGGGGCTGGGCCAGGGAAAGAATCTGGTTGGAAGCCTCTCATCTTAAACTCTATCCCACAGTGTGACTGCTAACAGCTAATCTTACCCAGCGCTGCCTTCCTGGACATGTGGCCTCACTGTCCCCCCAGGCCTGCACTCAGAAGGGTCCCACACTTGGTTTAACATTCTGCTGTTATATCTGTAAAATGCTTTCGTGATTTGTAAACAAGAAACCGCATTTTCATTTTCCATTCATTGGACCCTTCAAATGATATAAATGGTCTGGCCTTTCCCGAGACTAGGATAGAGAGAGCCGGTGGAGAACAGAGCCTGCTAGATCCTGGCTCACCTCGGTGTGGCTGACAGTGGGTCCTCAGGGTCAAAAGGACCTTGTTTCTGGATAATTATCTGAAGGTAATTAAGTTCTTCTCAGCGAGGTAGCAGCGGGTCTGACAGCTTGTTGGATGCATGCCGCTGCAGGCTGAGTTTCTGGTACATTCTCAATTTGTTTCAGCTGTTTGGGTGGCTCTTCGGCAAGGTCCATCCTGGTGCTGTTGTCTTTGCTGTGTTAGCAGCAATGTCCATACAGGGGTCAGCAAACCTGCAAACCCAGTGGAACATTGTCGGGGAGTTCAGTAACTTGCCACAAGAAGAACTTATAGAGTGGATCAAATACAGTACTAAACCAGGTAAATACATACAGACATATAAGTATATACAGCTATTTGATTTTAAAACTCGTGTTTTCCCTACAGTTTTATGAGGGGGCTTCAAAAATTCATGGAAAGATTCCATTACTTTTCATTTCAATGTTTTCATGAACTTTTGAAGCCCGCTCGTATGACCATCAAACAATCTGAAACCCAGGTTACTTTCAGCTTCTGAAGCAGTACGCTTCTAAAAAGTAAGCGCTCAATCTGACTTAATGGGTTTACACTGCCCATACGTTCTTACGAAGTTATTCTGTTATTTTCCACAAATTCTAGTGTTTTTCAAAATTTATCCACGTTTATACATTCAAATTTTAAAATAATCTTTATTACGTTCTTTTCTTAATGAGTGTTTAGTTTCATTCCCTTCACTTTCCTTCTTGAAATGAACTCGTGGAACACAATATTTTACTTATTTACAGAAAAGGGGCTCCTTGTTTTTATCAGAATATCAATCAAATGATTGAATAGTAGGTCATCTTCCAGAATTTTTTGAAGCTAAAAGAGCTTTTCTAGTTAACTTAGTATTTCTTTCCTAGAATCAGGACAGATTTCTAAGGGGTGTGGGGTGTGTGTGTGATATTTCTAAGGTGTGTGTGTGTGTGTGTGTGTGTGTGTGTGTGTGTGTGTGTGTTTTAAAGTATAAGAAAGAAAAGTAGCCCTCAACAATGACATTTCATTGCCCAAGAAAAATAACTCCCTCCAGCCTGTTTGCTGGCTGCCACTATCTCACCCTTAGCGGGATTCTGTCTCTGCTCCCTGGTCACACGCGGTTCAAGGGCTGAGCTGCTGAGTAGTTGAGTTGAGCATGTTTGTTTCCCTGCGGACTTCTGTCTGGTCTTCCAGACGCCGTGTTTGCAGGAGCCATGCCCACGATGGCGAGTGTGAAACTCTCCGCCCTGCGGCCTGTGGTGAATCACCCGCATTACGAGGATGCAGGATTGAGGTGAGTACACGATTTGCATTCATTAGATCGCCAGTGAGCTGACCAGCAAAATAATAAGTGTGTTTCAGAAAGGAGAGTAGGAGGGAGGAATGCTGGGAGGAGAATGTTAAATTTCACAAACCGTTGAAAGCCATTTTACTTTTTAATTCCATCTTTTCATGGACCTTTTGAAGCCCCCTTCTGTTTGTGTCAGTTGTTATTAGAGATGACTGACACAGTTATTTAATGTGTTCATAGCAGTAAGTTTTTTTAAGCAATAAGCTATAAATCTCTCCCTTGTTTTAAATATATACCCTGTTTTATTTTGAGAGTATTTCTCTTTGTTCTTGATATTTCATTGTTCTGAGGTGAAAGTTTACAAATTCGTTTTCCATTCCTCAGTTTATATGGAGGTTTCAGTGACTTTGGTCTAAGTCCCTACAGTATGTCAGCGTTCTTCCTATTTCCGCACTGGGTTCCCCTTTCCATTTGTCCGGTGTTCCAGCCCCTTCCCACCTTCCGAACTTTGCTTCTGGGCAAATGCTTTCCTCCTGCTTGGTTGTTCTGAGGAGCACGTTGCTCCTGGGCATTCTTGCTCCCTGTCTTGTACGCAGCTGAAAGGAAATTTCCATGAATGAGTTAAAGAAGGGTGATAAAGGACCTTCATATCAGGAGCTTCACCAGTCTCTATCAGACCAATAAGTCGGGGTTTTTTAATAGGGATTTAGGTTTTTGTTCTACCTTTTTCTGTCTGATACTGGCTATTGTGATCCTTGTCAGAGCAATTGGCGGCAGTGGTAGCTGGATCAGCCATCTGGCTCATCTGGTTTCAGGCTGTGGTTCGTGTGGTCCGTTAGGCCTCCCACCTTTGGTTTTCTTCACTCATTTTTGCTCTCGACAGAAAGAGACCAATAGATTATCTGGGCTGGGCACCTGGAAGTTTTCAGTACCCCTCTTGGTACTCACCAACGAGGCTGTAGAATGTTGTCTTTTGGGGCTTTTTTACACCAGGTGACCTAGATGTCCCCCCACCCCGTAAGACTTTGTCTCTATTCTTCAAGCTTGGGACTTGCTATTTTTTTGTGACTTAACAGTCTCACATCCACATATGAGAGGGACTTGATTTAAATTTCATGCAATTTCTAGGGTAGTTCAAGCCATTCATTATTCATTTGCTAAATAATTGGGTGAATCATAGTAACATATTCTTTTACATGACTGGGATCTATATTTTATAAATAAAAAGATTTAGCTTTCTCATTTAAGGAAAAAATGTCAATCTTAGAAAACTCATTTTCTGGAGCAAATTTGTTAAAATGTTTAGTTTTTTAAAATCTAGAAATAAAAGAGCCATTTAATGCTAATTATTATGGGCACAAAAGCGCGGGGCCCCAGCAGTGTCAGACTAGGTCTGTACTTAGGCTTGAGTGTCTCAGCCCTGTCTACCCAGGGTAGTTTACTCTTACTTGTGGTGGAGTGGTGAAGAATTTAAAAACAAAGAAGACTAGTTTGGGAAGCATTTAATACCATCCCTCTTTACCTGACATTCCTTGTCCTGCGTCTCCCTTTGTCTTTCGACCTCACTGATGCCTCCCTGTTGTCCATCTGCCTTCCGAGGCCAGCTCGGGCTCTAAATCAAAACATCCTCCAGCACCACTGCACCTGGACTTCTTCCTCTGACCTCACTCCGGGAGTGAGGTCAGAACTCACATGTCAAAAGGACACAGCTCTCCAGACAGTCCAATTTTCCCAAGACTGCAGATGCCAGCCATAACCCCAGGCCCTCCTCACTTAAGACCTGTTGGCTGCCAATTACCCCCTTGGGTTCAATAGTTTTCTAGGAAGATTCACAGGACTCAGGAAAATTCTGTACTTATAATTGTGGTTTAATGGTTTAATGATCACAAAAGATACACGTGAAGAGATATGTAGGACATGATAGGGATGGGGATGGGGAGTCCTGGATGGAGGGGCTCCCAATACAGAGCTTCCATTTCTCACAAAGGGACATACCCTCTCTAAAGCATCAATGTCCCTTGCCAACCAGAAAGCTTACTGGGCATCAATCCATAGTTTTTATTAGAATTTCATTACATAGGCACGATTGATTGAATGCGACTCCTGTCCCCTCCCTCCCCTAGGGCTGAGCTGACATCTTCTGGTGGATCCTTCTGGCCTGACCAGTCCTCACCCAGGAGTCAGATCATAGCCTAACCTGACAGGTGTTCTTCAGAGAACAAAGACACAAAAGAAAACCCCACAAAAAGAAAAAAAAAGAAAGAAAACCCCACAAGTGTAGAGGTTATCTCACAAGAGACCAGAAGCGAGACCAAATTCTTTGGTAAAATTAATTGTAAGAGGCTAAGTCAGAAAGTATTGCTATAAAATCATTAAAAAAATTATTAAACAAAAATATCAAAATGTGAAGCTATTGTTGTTCTACAAGACCTCTAGCTGGGCTTATCCTCTTTTAAGGTGGTGTTCATCTCTGTCGAAGCCCTTCCCTGAAGAAATCTGCACCCTTCCACTTGCACCACCTTCAAATGGCCTTCTTGGCATCCTTGAGCAACCATTTGATACTCCTTTGAAATGTTGTCTGGGAGCAAAAAGAAGTCTGAAGGAGCAGGAGCAGGGCTGGAGGGTGCTGGGGAGAGTTTCAGTGAAATTCTAACGGGACAGCCCTTGCTGCCCTCAAAGAATACCTCAGAAGTGTGTTGTCATGAGGGAAACATTTGTTGACAAAGCTTACCTAGTCTTCCTCACCAGTGCAGCTTTTCATTTTTTAAAACGTATTCAAATCCTGTCCTTTGATCTCTCTGCATGGAAAGTCACTGGGCCAGCAGATGTCTTTAGAAGCTCTTGCTTTGTTTGTACCATTCTTTTTGAAAAGCTCCTCTCAGTATTCTAAGACAAATGCATCAGTGAGAGAGCTTGTCTGCAGCCATTCACTGATGACAAAGGCCTGTGTTCTTTAGAATGAACGTGCATGCAAGTACATCCCTCCAGTAGCATACTTTTGGATTTATCTTCATATATCTTGACCTGATTTTTCTATTTTTTTAGTAATATCTAGTTCTTTTTCTTTTCTTTAATCTTGAAACTCTTCTGTCCAACTTTTTCTTTGAAGGGCCAGAACGAAAATAGTATACTCAATGTATAGTCGGAAAGCAGCTGAAGAGGTCAAGCAGCAGTTGATCAAGTTAAAAGTCAATTATTATATCTTAGAAGAGTCGTGGTGTATAAGAAGATCCAAGTGAGTATTCAGCACGGTCCTTTACATTCACAGAACATGAAGCAGGGAAATTTGATGGTAACTGGCATGGAGTAGTGGCATGTGTGAAATGTTGATGAGTTGAAAATGTTGATCAATATTCATATTGGTTTTTCTCCTCTGTTCGTTTATAAATATGTTTCTTTTATATTGAGTTATATGCTACAGTAAAGAGATTATATTGGCATGATAATCTTCCAAATTAATCATATTTACCCTTGATAGTTTTTTTTGAAAGTGTTGTCTGGAGGCAGATTTGTTTTCTTTCAAAAGGCTTCCACTGTCTCAAAAAAGATAATTAATTATCTCATTGTAATGAAGAGGCCAGCCTCTACTGTCCACACTGATTCTATCTACACCACGTCCTCTTGCGTAGATGTGGCCCCTCTCAGCTCAACTTGCTATCTTTCATATGATTTGAGTTGGAAAATAATTAACTTAATTGTGATGCAAATTGTATTGGTTATTGTGTTAGTCCGGGTAGACTAGAGAAATACAAATTCATTGCCACTCATTTGTGTATAAGAAGGAACTTTATATAAAAGAATTGTATATTGTGTTAGTCTGGGTACTTTTGAGAAACAAATCCACAGCAACTCATGTATAAGAGAGAGTTTTATGTAAAGAAAGTGTACATCACGAAAACATCCCAACCCAATGCTGCCCAAGCCCACAAGTCCAACATTAACCCATTAACCCAACACCAGTCCACAAAGTCCTCCACCTCACAAACCAGAGGCAATGATGCCGACTGCAGGAGGAAAGCTGAGTCAGTGAACGAACAAGCATCTCAGCACTAGCAGGGGTCTCCACACGGCTGCTCCAGCACCCAGGGCTGCATCGGGATAGGTCCATGTGGTTTCTCCTTGGGGATGTCTTGTAGGAAGTCAGTCTTGCAAGCTGAAGCAGGGAACTGCTAAGGCAGCTACACCCAGTGCAACTGTCACAAAACAAGAGACCCGAGAACTAGAAAGGAGAGGCTCACCACCTATTTATCCCTACGCCTTTCAATTAGCCCCACATGTGATTATCGGCCAGGTTGGCACAATTAACTAACTTATATATTGAGAAAATATCCCAGCCCAGTCCAGATCAAGTCCATACGTCCGATATTAGCCCACATGTCGGATATTAGTCCATAAATCCCTCTTTAGACTCACTCAGCACATGCAATGATGGCAAATGCAGGAAGATCACAGGTCTTGTGGATCCAGTGGCAGTGGAAGCATCTCAACGCTGGCACCCGTCAACACATGGCTCCTTCAGCTCCAGGGCTCTGGCTGCATCAACGCAGCTCCATGTGGCTTATCAAAAGGAATGTGAAGCAGAGACTGTTTGTCCCACCTCCAGGGAGGAAGACAAAGTTCCCAGAATCCTCAGGTGAAGGCCATACCCACACAGTGAGGCATGATTAGTTATGACCTGATTCCTAGGCTAGACTCCACCCCTTCACTCAAGTTCACAGGAGATTATGTATCTGCCACAGTTATATTTTTAAATAAATCTACTTCCTCAGAGAGTTGATTAAGCCAAGTTATAACTTATAAGCATCAATAAGATCTTGAGAACAAATAAGAATTCTTATGTTGACTACTTAGAATAAGATGTGGGTGGCTGGGTGACAGTAGCCTCCTGTGTTAGGCTGAGTTGTCTAGAAAAAGAAAAGCTGAGTGACAATCACATATGTCTAAGAAGGAACTTTGTATTGAGAAAACATCCCAGCCCAGTCCATGGGTCTGATGCTAGCTAGATCCTTCTTCAAAACTCAAGTAGCTGCAGGCATAGGATGCAGGAAGACCACAGGCTGGTAGATGCATAGTACTTCAGATCCAAGGTTGATGGAATCCTGACAGCTCTCAGGGTTGGATGGCCCACATAGGGCTGCCTCTGGAAGCAGGCAGTGGGAGGGGGAAGCTCCCAGTTTCTCTCTTATAAGAAGTTCACCCCCTCAAGGAGGCATCATCAGGCTGTGACCTGATTGACAGGTTGGATACCATCTTTACACTTTCATACAAATTCAAGTTGACATAAAATCTCACTGCCTCACCTGCTATGGCATTCATCCAATGAACACCTGTTCAAGGGTTAAGACACTTGGTGAAGAGTGGGAGAAGCAGTTTCATCAGAAATAGTGGATGTTTTATGGAATACTATTACTTTTAAAATTGTCATTCTATAACAACATTCCCATGAAATCAGCAGGCAAGAAATCAAATGAAGTATTGGATGGGGCAGAACTGCTGCAGAAGACCTTTTTAAAAGTTTTAAAAGCGAAGATCACCTTGACTCGTGTGTCTGACCAAAGCCATGGGATTTCAGTCCTATGCACATGAAAGCTGGGCCGTGAATAAGGAAGACTTGGGAAGAATTGATGCCTTTGAATTAAGGTGTTGGCAAAGAATATTGAAAGCACTATGGACTCCTAGAAGAACAGACAAGTACATCTTGGGAGAATCTCCTCCGGATTCCTCCTTGGACGTGAGAATGGTGAGACTTTGTCTCTTGTACTTTCGACAAGTTATCAGGAGAGATCGGTCCCTAGAGAAGAGCATCATGGTTGGTCGAAAAACGTTGAAAAAGAGGACACTGTCAGGCAGCTGGAGACAGTGGCTACCACAGTGGGCTCATGCTTCATAGCAACATGAGGATGCTGCAGGACCGGGCAGGGTTTCATCGTGCTGCACAAAGGGTAGCTGTGAGGCGGAACAACTTGATGGTGCTGAATGACAACAGCCGCAGCAGTAACAAACAGGCTTTAGTAACTGATTTATCTGTGATTTAGTCATACTCAATTACCATATATTTTAATAACACACAAGATTTATAGGACATGTTTTTGACCTGACAGCTATGGGGTTTTCTGGTTTTCTTGCTTTCGGCTCCATTATGTTAGTCTCAGACACCTGTAGATTACTGAGCCAAAACAAATACTGTACATGATCTTTTTTTCTCTCCAAGCTAATGGTTAATTCAAGAGTATTCATGCTCCACCCCACCCCAATCCCACATATTTTGGATATTTGAAAATTGCAAAGGCTTGGTTGCTTTGTTTTCTATGATGTTTGCAGAGCACCTTGTATTTGATAACTGGCTTCATCGCAGTTGTTGATAGGGATAACACTGTTGCTGTGGGTACACAAGAGGGGATGTAAATTTAGGATGTATGGCAATGCTATTGTGTAGAGTAAACGGTCAGTAGCCAGCTGGCTTTAGATGGTCTCCATGTCGACCTGACTCTTGGGTACTTAAATGGAGCTTGGAGCAAGTAGGCTGTGTGCTCCTTTCTGCCTGCCAGCTGGCCTTGCCCTACCACTGCTGTTTCTGTCCAGCAGGAGTTGAGCTAGAGGATGATAAGAAAACAGCTTTCTCCCATCTGTTTTCTCTGTTCTCCCACTTACTTCTACAAAATGCAAGCCACACTGATGATGGATCTCGGGAACTGTGAGGCAGGTCCCCTCTGCTTAAACCTGGGAACAAACTACCTCTGTGCCTTCTGTTGTGTCAAGGAGACAAATGGGGAAATCAGCTAGGCGATGGCAGACAAAGGGAACTAATGTTTATCTAGTGCTTTATGTGTGGCCGGCACAGTGGTGAGCACTGTTTGTGTGATCTCAGTGACTAGTGCCTTCCTTAATTGTGTAGTTGCCTTACTTAATTGTGTAGTCTGATTAGTCCTTAAAAATGTGATTCTCTGTGTTCAAATGCAAGCACTAAATATACTCTGATGCAGATTAGAGACAGATTGTTTATTAACTCTCTGTTTAGTCTCAGTTATCTGCTTCCTTTCATTAGTTCCAATAATAGCATTGACATAAAATTCAAATACAGAAGAAAATGATTCACACTTCATTATAGCTGTTTAAAGATGCAGCTAGCTGGCTGAGAAGCCATAGTAAACTCAGATAAGGTCTTAATAGAAGATGCTGCTCTGTCAGGTAAATGTGGGTTGCTACCCACAAGGTTGTGTTCAAACTCACCAACTACTGCTTGGAAGAACGTTGAAGCTGTGCTCCTTTGAAGAGTTATAGTCTGGGAAGACCTTGCATAGGGCCATTCTGAGTCTGAATCAATAATTCAGTGGCATTGAGTTTGTTTTTTGGTTTGCCTTTCAGTAGAGAAAGGGCATAGAGCACCGATTTGTCCTCCTTTGCCTAAAAGTGGCTGCACATAAGAACTGTGTCGTATACTACTACACACTGTCTCATCCCATCCCCTCACCCCTCAGCCATTGGGCAAGGTTGTTGTTAGGCTTTGTCCTGTGTGACAAAATGAGTTCAGTCTCAGCTATCAAGCATCTAAAACCCACAACAAAATCATACCCAATGTGAATTTGGGGGGGTGCGGGCGAGGGAGAGGGCATGGAGTGGAGACTCAATGCCCATTTATAGACAATTGGACATTCCCTCACAGAGGGATCACAGGGAAGAGATGAGCCAGTCAGGGTGCAGTATAGCACCGATGAAACACTTTCCTCTAGTTCTTTGGTGCTTCTTTCCCCCCACTATCATGACCTCACTTCTACCTTACAAATCGGATTAGACCAGAACATACACACTGCTACAGACACAAGCCTAAAACACAGAGAATCCAGAATAGATAAACTCCTCACGGCCAACAAGGAGAGTACAGATACCAGGAGGATCAGAGGAAAGT